TTTGTGAATAACCCCCATAGTTGTTTTAAGTGAGTAAGTAAGAGAAGGGGAAGAACACCGGGGAATTATTATTAATCCTTGCAGTGGGGCTACTCCTGCACTGCAAGGGATAAATGCTCATTTTGGTCTAGGGAGGAAAATAACAAAGCTATACTTACCCGATCCTTCAAGCCAGCTTGCTCTTAGACCAGTGCCTGGAGCCTCTCTCCAGCTGGGTATAGTTAGAATTTTGAACTAACAAAATTGATTTGGTAATATAAGTTCGACTTTCTAATCGATGATCAATTTAGACCGCAGTGATAAAAAAATTGGAAGGAACCAAAAAACCAAATATTAACTAAAAACGAAAATCAAATGAAATTTCGAAGGGCAATCGCCAGGCCTCTGCATGGTATTTTCGATCTTTCCAATGGGATTTTTTGTACGAACGTTCGTGCGAAAATCGACTTGTCTATACCCTAGTTAAAGTGACATTAAAGTCAAACTTTTTTCCCCCCCTTCCCAATCCTGCTGTAGGGACTTACCTTAAATTATGTCTCTTAATCCGATCTTCTTCTTTCCTGTAGTTTTTAGATGTCTCTCCATAGGTGGTGCGGGTCTCCGATCCAGCGCTGACTCCTCTGTCCTCCTCTTCTCTCATGTCCCACGGCGTCTGTGCGGCTCCATATACTTACCTTGTGTCTCTCCTCGTCTCCCGGCCGAACATCTGAACTGTGCATGCCCAATATCCTTTGCGGCCGCCCGATCAATTTTCAGATGTTTGGACGGGAGCATGCAGTGGAGACACGGATAAATTTAACCCTTTGAAATGTTTTTTTTTTAAATTGTTTTGCATATATCTACTCCTTGCTAGCAGTAGATATATGCAAAAACATGCAAGGGTTTAATAACCCTTTAAGGTCCTGTAAATCATCACATCCAATACACAGTGTATAGGAGGTGACGATGCAGAAAGACATACCACCGCTGCAGCGGAGGAGACACTCACAGCCAGTTGGCCCCGGCGCATCTATCGCACTGTTCACTGCCAGCGAGACACAGCAGGACACGGCAAGTCTGACCGCAGCCGAGCGGTCTCCTCGCCTCACCCTCACGTAGCCATTAAGGCTCAGCCTGGCCAGCTGAGACTTAAAACTCCGCTTTTGACTCTTAACAGAGAAATCCTTTGACACATATGTCCCTGAAGGAGGCACCGGGATTACACACAGTTCATAACCTCTCTTTTTTCCTACGACCCATGCTTCCTGATAGGCGCCCGTCTCTGCAGGGAAACACCACTCCTCATCGGTTACCATTGAGGCATCTATTCATCTCATACAACAGCGAGTCATTTCACCCATTTTTTAACCATTCAATCCTTTCCAGTGCCTATCTAGCCTTATGCCAATGTTGCCATGCATAAACACCCATACATGTGAAATTATATGTATACCTAAAGGGCAGTAGCGCTTCTCTGTTCTGTTTTCTATTTTGGGAGTAGATACAGGCAGCATCATGAGCCTATTTGGTTAATGATGTCCCCAAGAATGCCCAGTTGGTTGGTTAACATCGAGCAGTTAGCCAGGGACTGTTATTTGTGATGGAAGTAGTGTGGGCATTGCAAACAAAGACCCGGAAGCTGGCGGAGAGGTGAGCATCGATCAAAAAAAGTTTAATCGATCAAAAAAATTAACGATTAATCGAGGAATTAATCGTTAATTTTTGCAGCCCTACTTTTAAATAACAGACCTCAGCTCTTTATGTAAACATGGTTGTACGCCATCTAGTCCAGGTTCTTTATTTATCTTTATTTTGTCTGTTTCTGGACCATATCAGTTTAGATCGATATGGATTGATTTACTAAAGGCAAATTGGCTTTTAACTTATTACTGGAATTTTCACTTTGCAAGGGAATTTTTCCTAAGCTTAGTGAATATTGTGAAGCTCCACTGACCTCCATCATATTTTCTTGTGCAAGCAAATATACTGTTTTTTTCCCCATGCACATGTATCTTTGCAAAGTGAATTTTCGCCACATGCACTAAGCTAAGGGAACATGTTTTTTTAGCGCATACCACCGCATTCCTACCACAACGCGGTGCTGTGAATGCACACCATCCGTGACAAGGCAAATTGCCTTGTCTTGCATTGGGGCTGCGCTGGAAACAACGGCCAGCACAGCTCTGAGGCAAATGGTGTGAATCGGCCCTCACTCTCTTTGGCAACCTGTAGTTGAATTTTTGCAATCTTGATTTCCTTTTTATATCTTTTCTTATATTCGTTTTATCTTTCAAATTATGAAAGTGTTCCTTAATTTTTATATTTTTCAAATGCTCTCTTCTTATTATTCCTTTTCTTTGTGGCTTTTTTAACATTGAATGTGAGCCAAGTGGGTTTTACTGTTAGCCTTTTAAACGTACTGCACAGAATTGTGCCGAAACACACTGGGGCTGGTGTCAACTAGCCCTAATACTAACACGCACCATGAAAATCTCCTTTAACAAGGTCCTCTTTTACATTCACCTTTGGATCAAGTCTCAAATAGAGACAGACCTTTCTGTTTTACCCTGTCTATCCAAAATAGAGTATAGCCGGGAATATTAGCAGCCTAATTAATTAGTTCTAAATATGTAAACTAAAAGATGTTTACCTTGCAGTGTCTGCTTTTTGTTTTTTTATGAAAAAATAATACTCCGCAATTATTTAGGCTTTTAGCAGGAAATGAAATCAATCACACTTAATATGAGTTCTGAACAAACAAGCCATTTACGGTATACCAACACAATTCCAGGAGTGAACACCCCATCAACAGCTAGTAAGTAACCTTTAGGAGCAGATTAGTAAGCTGCAACCTTTAAAGCAGATCTGTCTTCACAAAATAATCAATGGGACAAAATTACCTTATAATAGCATCTCTATAAAAGTACCTGTGCACACTTTACATTTTGCTAAGGAACAGTCACTGTGCCCTGGGGTGCAAGTTAGATGCAAATACTGGCTCAAACACAACCCTCAACACAGTATGAGGCTCTCAGTAAGATGCTAATAAATTCCCAACATGTCACAATACACAGAAACAGTATAATAAAAAAAAAAAACTATACCTTTACTCATGTAAATAAAGAACTGGGAATAGCATAGCAAGAACATTTTTGTCATAGAAAGGAAACATTTTGTCATGTGATCACCTTAAATATGCAAAGTACTTGTAGTTCTTTATAGTAAACCTGTCAGTTGTTGTAATTAAAGTAACATCCCTGCTTTGGAGCAGACATCCCTTAATATCTCATATTACATTTGTGAGAACAAAACCATATTCTCTTTGCTTATCTCAAACTAAACTGAACCGTCCAGAACCCAGGACCCCTAGTAACAAAGTGAAACTAGTTTCGGAGGAGCACACAAAGAAGGGTTTCTGGTAAATACAAATATTTTCTTTGAGAAACGTTAAATAACTGGCAGGTCCCTTTATAGACTTCAAAAACTGCCTCTATATTACACGCAAGCTGTAGAAAAAAAAGTTATCATCTCACACGAAGAAGTAAACTTTAGGATGGTGATGCCTAGTCCTGATTCTGAATTTGGGTTTCTGGGCCAAGTGATCTCAAGGTAATCTGTAAAACTATGAAGAAGTAAAAAAGCATTTTTACGCTCTCGCTGTTGTATTAGCAGAAGGTAATTAAGTGATATTGTTGTGAAAAGTCGTAGACAGCTCCGTACTGGCGCTACGCCTACTGTTCCTTCCAGACGTGGAAATTCTCAGTCTTCTGTGAATCTAATATTTGAGTTCTTTCCAGTTTAAGTATCATCAGTTCTTTCCAGACCACATTTACAGATATTGTAACTTTCTGAATAAGTTGCTTCGTTCACAATCTGAACCAACCAATAGTGACTTCATTTCGTTTTGAAAGCCAAATACAACCAAAGCCAATACTTCAGGTCTTGTATGGTTGGCAGCTAGCTAAATCACCGGCTGCCTACTTACATCTCCCAGCGGCCCCATCAACAAGATATCTTCATAAGTATTCATGGTTCCACCTGCCCGCCTTACAAAGCCATGATGGTGTGCCATTTCCCCATTGAATCCTCCATGAAAGAGAATAAACATATAATTTGGCAGTCCAGCTAAAAGTGAGTGACTCCTTCATTACAGCAGTGGAGGAGGCCCAAATTACTGCAGGGAAATCTCACCACTGAATAACCTGGAAACATGAGAAACTAAAAGATTCAACGCATTGCACACAATTTTTGGCTGGAGTTGGATTTTTAAATGATCCTGCCTTTTTCTTTTTTCTGGTTACCACTTCTTCACTATTTTTACTAAAAACTGTTGAAAACACAAAGCAGGGGAAACAATAAGTCCATATACATCATCTGCATGCCTCCAATGTTTTGTGGACCATCCTCACTTGAAGCCTAGTAGAGGCTCCCAAACAGGACCATGTAAGCAATCTAGTAAAACCTAGAGCTAGAGCTGTTACCATGAGTATCATGCAAGCTAAATGAGCTTCCGTTTGCTGTAGGGCAGGGGTAGGCAACCTCAGCACTCCAGCTGTTGTAGAATTACAAGTCCCATGAGGTATTAGAGCATCAATCATCCCTGATTTAATAATATAACAAATTAAACTGAGGTTGAAACATCATATTCCAGAGCTGATTCTTATTTTGAGGAAAAAACTATTTCTAATTCTTTCCATTTTTGTTAAGCCGGCATTTTTAAGTTGGAGAAGTACACATGGCTCTAAAATAATGTAAAAAAACAATGGCTCAAGTATCATGTACACATACAGCTTCTCTAGGCAGTGGGATCCTTCTGACTGCAGTGCTGTCTCAGAGTGAAGTTATATGGCCCATACTTGGGAAGAAAATCTGCCATTCATATAAAGCAAAAAAAGCACAACCAGCTATGCGCTAAATTGATTAGCAAACACAGTAAAGCATGGACAGACGAGAGCCTGTGACACAGTAGTAGGATGCAACCAAAATGTTGGCTACCATTTTAAAGGGCCATACTACTATACCTTCAGGAGGAGTTCCGACACTGCCGCCAAGTCCAAGTATGGCAAGATTCTTCTGTCTTGGCTGTAACATCATGGCTGACTCTTTTCCTCGCTCCCAGTGAGGCACCTTCACAGACTCCAAGGACACATTCTGCAGCTTGTCGTCCTGCAGTGCACTATACATGTACTTAATGGCCTTCTTCAGATTGTCTGAACCACTAACCCTATTACCTATAGTATCAACAAACAGTGCTAGTCTTTCATAGGACCTGTTCTGTGCACTGCCGTAAACTGCCAGATCGATGATAGATTTGGCCGCATCTTTATAGCCAGCCACTTCTTCTTTAATACGTTCCAATTTTCTTGAACTGACTCCATGCTGACTGTCAGTTCCTGAGCACATGTGCAGCATATAAATCATCAGCACACTTGCCTTCAGAAAGGTCTTCATTTTAAGGTACCTTTTAAGAAAATGTCAGTTCTTTTGGTAAATGATTTCCTGTAGGAATAGGAAGGGAATAAGGTTAAGTGTTTCCACAATAAGTCTCTTAAAAGCACTTCATACTTAAGTATTTAACAAAACAGCACTTGACCGAGGTTTGCCAATGCTACCATGACATAAGGAACGTCTGCATTCCCACACAACTGCTTCAGAATAAAACAGTTGTTAGGGCCTTATACACATATATAATAATGGCAATTTGATAAAGCAGGGGGCATGAAGATGCAGAAGCATGGCGCCACGGCCCTGATTAATTAGACCACAAAAAACATAAAAAACAACTTGGGGCTTTCGAGGTGCCAAGAACTGAATGACAATATGGGGTATATTCACTAAGCTGCCGTAGGCAGCCGAGTTAATGACCGACCTGAAGTGAAGTGAGCCGAACACTGTTCGGCTATAGAATTCAATTTTTATTGATATCAATGTACATTAAAATGTTTATAAAACCAAAAATTGCCATGTGTTTATTTTATTTGTTGCGATCAAATATATAGTAATAACATACACAATTGACTATATCAATTAAACAAATAATGTATTTAATTGTACAGACTTGACACGTTTTGCTGTATCACTTCCTCAGGAGTCCTGATGGTTCATGGCTCTTAGATCATCCAGCACCCGCAAATTGCGGGAGCAGAGGAATGGGAGAGAAGGGATAGTAAGGTGAAGGTAAAGCAGTGGAGCTGATAACAGTACGCACAGTGTTTCAGCAGGGGCTTTCCGGGGAGATCAAATAAACAGGAACCTACTTTGTATCCAGTGTCCGAGTACAGACTCTCCGAGTAGAATATCAGCAGCTTGGACAGTTCAGAATCACCATTTGGTTGTTGAATACAACTTCCCCACTCCCACCGAGGGTTGATCAAATGGGTGTCCTCTTTTTGTATTGTATGTGGGTCCTGTCAGCAATGGAGTCTGCAAGCATCTACCTCCCTCCAGCTGGAAAAATGATGTGGTCTTAAATACATATGTAAGTATCTGGAATGTGAACTGTTTGTATTGAATCACAATCAGTCACATTCAGTCTTTTCAATTTCCAGCAAAAGTTAAGGGCCCACATACTGCTGGAGCTGTCACAACACACTAGCCCACCCACTAAAATGCTTTATTTTAGTGGAATGGGCTATAATGAAGACCTTTAACCCCTTTCACGGAAAATGACATCAACATGCAGCTCTGCATGCTGATATGAAATAATCTTACATGTATTATTTTAATGTTTTTCCACTTCCTGGTTGAGTGAGGCAGATGTGATGTAATCCTGGCTTCACATATGCATCCTGGGAAGGGGACATCACCAGTGCCTTCATGGGAAATCTCATTTGCAAAGATCTTGGGGGAAAGGCCTTTTTCCCCCCACAGATGATGTGCACTGTCACATCTTCCAGGAGGCAAACCCAGAGTTCCAAAAAGGAAAGGGAGGTGGATTAATCTGTCCTTAGAGCAAAAACACTTTAACGCGACTCTGTCACATCTAAAGCAAGTGTCTAAAAAAACCTTGCAAAAGAAGATAAATAATATTTACCTTTACAGTGGGCAGTGACTCACTCAGTATTTTTAACAGTTCTGGGTATGTGTGTATGGCTGGGGGTTAATTTACTAAAGGCGAATGGGCTGCTCACTTGGCAAGGAAATTTCCACTTTGCTTAGTAAATGAGGTGAAAATTAACTTTGCAAAAAAAAGCCCAATCAAGGAAAATAAAAAAACGTTATTTTTGCACATAAGTGGAGTATGAAGTCATCAGATCATCATCTTGTTGCCTTGCCAAGTAAACAGCCTGTTTACCTTTAGTAGTCAATCTCAATATCTCTTGTTGCACTATCGTAGCCAACAGTACATTTTCGAGGGCGGGGGGGGGGGTTGTTTTTGGGCTTTTTAAACATGAAAGGCTGTAACTTATCAGTTGTTATAGGGAAATGGTTGAACTGTAGGAGGCATGCTGCATGAGTAATTTTTAGATAGGAAGGGTTGAAGTCAACCAACTGCATCTTTACTGCTACCTATACCTATGTCGGAGCCCAACCAGTACCAACAACAAATGTAGCAACCAGGGTTCTGCCAGGAGCGGAAGTTTATGGTTCTTCCCTCTGGAGTGCATTCTGCATGTACTTGCATGGAGTATCTACTAAGACTCTAACAAAAACAACATTATAGATTTCCCTTTGCAATAAATTGAGAACGCCCTCCAGAGAGGTAATGAGGAAGTTTATATCACAGCAGAGCCCTGACAGCCAGGATGCAGATCTACCTGGCAAGAGCACAGACAACATAAAGATCTGAAGGAGGATGATAAAAGCCCAACCTCATTTATATTCAAATATAACATAATGGGGTTTATTTACTAAAAGCAAATAGGCTGCTCACTTTGCAAGGAAATTTGCACTTCGCAGGGAACGTTCCCCCTTAGTCTAGTGCAGACCTGGACAATTTGTGGCCTTTAGGCCACATACGGCCCTTTGGCTGTCCCTGTCTGGCACGCGGTCCTAACAAGGGCTGATCACCGACCTGCGCCCGGTTATGGCTGGCTGACAGTGGATGTGTTGGCCTCCAAGGTCCCCTATTCTTCAGTTGTTGGTTCCTACGACTGCTGGGGTCCTAGCAACCAATGTCGTCAGGTGTTCACCTCCTTTGCAGTCATTGGTTGCTAGGACTGTAGTCCTAGCAACCAGTGCAGTCAAATGTGTTCCCTGCCCCCAGCATTCGGCCCTCCACAGCAGTCCCAGTTTCTCATGTGCCCCCTTGAGAAAATTAAATGCCCACCACTGGTCTATTGAATGAGTTGAACCTCTGCTGAATTTCATTAGCCAATCGCGTAAAAGCAAAAATATTTGTATTTTATTTTCCTTGCATGTGTTTGGGTATTCTTTGCAAAGTGACATTTCACCCCATTTACCAAGCTAAGTAAAATGTCCCCTGCAGTGTGCATATTCCCTTTCAAAGTGAACACCCTATTTGCCTTTAATAAATCAACCCCAACAGATCCAATTTATGACTAAACTAAATAGGCCTGTGGCTATGTAATCCTAATATTGCAGTATACAGGTGAAACTCGAATAATTAGAATATTGTGCAAAGTTCATTTATGCAACTTAAAAATTTTCACTAATGCAACTTAAAAGGTGAAACTAATATATGAGATAGACTCATTACATGCAAAGCAAGATAGTTCAAGCCGTGATTTGTCATAATTGTGATGATTATGGCTTACAGCTCATGAAAACCCCAAGAACCCCAAATCCACAATCTCAAAAAAGTAGATTATTACATGCAATCAATAAAACAAGGATTGTACATAGAACAATATCGGACCTCTGAAAAGTACAAGCATGCATATGTACTCAGTACTTGGTTTGGGCCCCTTTTGCAGCAATTACTGCAATTACTTTTGCACGATATTCTAATTATTCGAGTTTCACCTGTATGTGTTATATAAATGCATATATATACAGGGCTTGAAAAATCTGTGACGAGAGGACAGTGGAGCCCGACGAGCAGCTTCCCGGCCGGCCGTTGTAATTACACGGCCGGCCGGGAGCTTTACATTCAAGCGATCGAGCGTCTCCAGAGACGCCCAATCACTTGTATTAGCAGCTGTCACTGTGGTGCCGGTCCTGAGATCCCCTGTGCCCGATGCGGCCGGGACCGGCACGGCTCTGTGACAGGAGATCAAAGGGAGTTCAGTATACGAACTCCCTTTGATCTCCTCTCAGTCCCCGAATGCAGGAAGTGATGTATATTACATCACTTCCTGCATTCAGTGTCACTCTCCAGCTACAGAAGCTGATGAAGCAGATCTCTGCTTCATTAGCGTCTCTGGGGGTCCCTAGGTGACATTAGGGGTCTTGGAGACCCCGGATGTCTCCATAAAGAGGACCTGTCATGTAAATTGGCTATTACATAGGGGGCTTCTTAGCCCCCTATGTAATAGCAATAAAGCTGTGTGTAAAAAAAAAGTAATACTAAAATTAAAGAAGCATAACAAATATTAAAAAATAAAACATTTTTTTTAAGTCCACGCACCCCACATACACACGCAGATATGCGTCGGTGCGCCTACGTGCGAAAACGACGATTGCACCTATTGTGCCGCACAGGTTAAATATCGCCGCAAACGTCGGAGTGAGAGCAATAATTTTTGAGCCATTAATCACTGTAAATACTAAACTGATGAGCAGTAAAAGCATTTTAATCGTCGCCTATGGGCGTTTTTTGAGATTTTGCGGGCGCACACAATTTTAAGGCTTGAAATGTTTGGTGTCTATTTACCGGACGTGACCCCGAATGTTATGTTTTACTAAAAATATGGGTAAGAATAAATGTTTTATAACATAACGTAGGGAAAGTTGGTTTTGTTTTTTTTTGCATTTATGGTACTTTTTTCATTATATAGTAAAAAAAATAACAACCCCCCCCCCCCCCCCCAGACACCATCACATTTTTCAAGCCCTGTATATATGTATATACATGTCTTTCCAGACACAAACAAACCCTTTTCATCAGAATGCCTATAATCCAATGTCTCAATTGTCCTATAGCAGCCTATCAGGTGATGTTGTTCACTAGAAAAAGGCTGGAATCCAATTGGCTGAAAATAGACCGTCCTTATTTCAGACACTTCATAAATTAAATATTTTATTGTTGAACCACAGGAACTGATTTTAGTTTAAGTGTGTCAAGCTGAATCATAATCTATAATTCTGCATGTAACATCAGGATTGTTTTTATCCAATTGACTCAAAAAGTGAGAAAATGTTCTCAGCTATCATCAAATACTAATCCAACATGATGTTAAATAATTAGAAACACACATCAAGAACGTGTAAGGAAAATCATAACTGTAGAGAAAAAAAAGAGGTTACATACTGACTATTTACCCAAAAACACCAAGTTAAAAATACTGGAATTATCTAGGAGTATTGTCAGGGTCAGATGAGAACATCGGTGTTCTGCAGAATGGAGCCTCCAGGTGCGGAAGATATCATTTG